GACCAGACACAAGACTAGACACAAGACCAGACACAAGACCAGACACAAGACCAGACACAAGACCAGACACAAGACCAGACACAAGACTAGACACAAGACCAGTCACAAGTAACAAGAAGACAAAAACAAGTGCTTTTCTTTCAGCTCATTCAAAGAATTAGTTACTTGAGTTCAGAGTGGAGGGCTTGCATTGGCCTTGTGATGGTCTGAAAGGGTCTCTAGTACAACAATGAAACATACCACTCATGCAGGAGAAAGTATAATACATACAGTCACTGGTTCTGACAATTTTCATGAAGGGTGAGCATGTGAGACATATTGGCGTTGAATATGTCTGAACTAAAAGTTAATGCTCAAATTTCATCGACAGAGTGAGTACTTTTTATCCCCTAACCAGAAACATTCAGTGAAAGTCTTGGATTTATATATCTACAGTGGACAAAAGGCATCATTTTGTATGAACAGCCATCAGTTGGCATAAATTACGACTAGCTTTACTTTAACCCTAACCCTCCTCAATCCTTCACCTGTTGGAGGACTGAGGAGTGTTAGGGTTAAACATACTTTGAACAATTCATGGATTATTTTACTGATTTTTCTGACCACTACTTGGCAGAAACCAGATACATGTACAGAAAAAAGAACTTCCATCAGAAAATCACTACAGACCAATCCATGAAGGGAAAAAACCAGCATCCATGATAGCTCTGAGATGTCAAGGTACCTGATGTTTCAGCTGAGTAACCCTGGAGTAGCTTAAACATTCCCCCACAACCTTTGGCAATGTATTGCATCTTGGCAATAATGGGCAGGTTGTGAATTGAGAACCTGACTTCTTGTCGTTGTATCTGGGCTAGATTCTCAGCGTGTCCCAAAATGCCAAAGCCTGTCACGTCTGTCGCACCGTGGGCGTTGTACAAATGCATAAGCCTTGCAGCTGAGTAAAATAAACAGGAGAGAGAGAAAAAACCCTGACATGTAATTTACAATAATTCCTGGCACATATAAAGTATTAATCTTGTAAACGTCCACATGACAATATTGGTTCTATGTGGTGCTTGTTTTACGGATCCCCTTTATCAAGGGACTCTCCAAGGTACTGTCCAGAAATGATTGAAATCCTCTGTCAAGATTTATTGTGCTTTTAGTTTTTGATGGGCTTCAGCTTGCCTTTAGTGCACACTGATCAGTTTGTAATAAACCATCTTCCTCGAGGAGAGATGCATTGTGGCTCTGGCTGTGTTGTGGCTGTGGCTGCAAATTACATAGCACCTTCTGGAACTGGATATCAGCTGAACTTTCAGGCTCTTCCTAACTGGCTAGCACCTGTTTAAACTTGCCACAGACTTGCATCATTCCTAGCCATAGCCAGTTGATTTGCTCACAGACTGTTATGAGATGGGCAAATAGCACCACCAATAAACCACACACAAAGCTTTTGGCCCTATATCATTTTAGAAACCCCGCCAACCTAACATAAAATAGTTGCAGAAGTGACAGCTTGTTCAATAAATGAGAATCCAAGTCGAGTATCAAAAGATCAAACTGTCTCAGAGTGTCTGCTTGCCACTCACCTACATGTAAGCATGACATTGTTGAACAGGAATGTCTCAGAATTAACAGTTGATAGTGCTATCAATTGCCTCAATGCAACATGGTCAGACATTTCCGCCAGTTGTATCTTGCTGGGGTTAATCCTCCCTCTCCAGCGTTCTACATGAGTGAATAGATTTTGTGAAGATTTCTCAGTCCAAATCATAGGAGGGATAGTTTATGGAACGATTTCTCACCTTCATAGTTGAGTTCAGCCATATGGTATTTGGCTTGTTGGTAGGCTCTCTCCACATCCTCTTTGGTTACCACAGCACTGATCTTCTTCCAATCTTCAGGGCGGAACATCCACTGATAAGCGTTGACAGCCACCTGTGTACCCAGTGGTTTGGTCAGGACCAGAACGTCACCCACTAGAGCATTGTCAGGACTAGGAAAGGGAAAGTTTAATACTAGGTTATGCGAACATAGGGTTGGTAAAATGGGGCCTAATGTTAAGGGGAAACTTTGGCTATGGCAGGTGATTTATCAAAGATGTCAGATTTAACAAGGATAAGACACTTGCAAGGTTGTCCAAGAACACTTTTCTGTTGCACTTGCCAATTCAAAGTCAAATCTGTTAGACTGATCACACTGTTGCTATCTCAATAGTTGGGTAGGTGATCCTACACCAGCAAGGTATGTACCAGCTGAGGAATGGTCTGGTACCTGGGTACACATTCTAAATTGGAGCTGGAGGTCTCTGCAACCATATGGGAGTATGACTTTAGCCAGGTGTACAGGTGAATTTAAAGTTAAAGTCTGAATGAGTCAATGTACAAAGTATTCCAATTGAACTCACCAAGGACGTTACGTCACTATTTAAGTGACAAAGTAAAGAACTAAGTATTGAAGTAACTAAGAAGTCAAAAAATCACTGGAAGACTTCAACCTTGAAAACATTTCTTGTAACTTCATAAAATGACTTCAAGATTTCATTTTATGTGATTAATGTTACACTAAAATACACTGTAGTAATATATTCAGTAATTAGAACATTGTACTCAAATTTGAACGAGCCTTTTTCATCAAGATAATATACATGTACATCTAGTCAAGTGATACTTTGTTTAAATGTACATTTTTTTTCTTGTGCGAACCAGGTAGGAATGACAGATTCTGTGCTCCATATAAAGTATACATGTAAACAAAGCGTGACATCATTAACAGATAGGCCTAGTTAAATACAACTTCAACAGATAAACGTATATCAACTGAAAGGAAAAAAAACCCAACTTACTAAACTATACCAGCAGGCAAGCAAACACTAGTGCCAACACCACCAATTGTCAACCATGGGTTGATGACTGTTTGACCCCCTCTGACTTTTGTCCCAGCCTTGCCAGCATTATCCTGAAGTATCAAAAAAAAATCTATTTAGGAAAAAGGCTATGAGCAAAAAAAGGTAATATGGGAAACTTGACCCTAGCAAACTTTTCTACCATTACTGGTTGACAGGGATGCAAGAAAGTCTGATACAATTCGATAATTAAAAAAAAAACTGATGCTTAAATGTGACCGACTACAGGGCTCGATGGAAATCCATGGATAGATATATGCGTGAAAATCTTTAAACGTTCTGTTGAATTTACATAAATCTCATCCCCTCCATTAAACCTGCAAATGACAGGAAAAGTTATTCAAATTAGCTTCCAGAACTGCTACCAGGGAAAGAAATTTACTTTCTTTAATCCTTAGTAATCCTTATAACGATTCTTTTATTTTTCTATTAAATTATTTGACCTACTCTGAAGCCTTCCATCATAAGAGGAATGACGGTGTCTCGTTCCTTGTCAGTGAACTTCTGTGGTACACCTAGTAACATCAACATGTTGTCACAATGAACAACACCAGCGGCATACAGATCACTCAGAACATTGGCACAAGCAATCTGGCCCTAATTGCATTTGGGAAAAAGAAGACAATGATTGGTGATCTGTTAGTACCATTACCTGAAGTTTGCTTAGGAAGTTACGAGCTAATGTACCTATACTGACAAGGCCAAAGGATTCAGGTATGTTAGGCTTAATGAAGAAGTTAAATTTAGGTTACATGTATTTTTAGGAAACACGGAACTCCCTTTTTAGATCAGGACTGGCAAATTAGCTGCACAGAGAAAATTCATACATCACGTGCCTTCCCTGCTTGTAGAACTGAATTATCCTTTATCAAACTATTTGTTGACTCTCAAAGTCTCTTGAATTCAGTCCATTTAAAACAAAGTTCTTGTTATAACAAGGCAATTTAGAGAAATCCAGGAGCTTTGTTACAATGATAGTTGACTATACAACAGTCTTGAAGGAATTTGACCTGGAGTACCATAATCATGCATCCTTGTATTTTCTTCCAGAATCTCACCATAACATAGGGGTCATCAACTAGAGGATAGAAGAAATCAGTGCTTTCAACAAGATAAAGTCCTCCATGCTGGAGTGGTATGATGCAACAGTCATTCCCAATTCCTAGCGATTTAAAAATATTGGAAAAATGTTATTTCTAGAGCTCCATGGTGCTTTTATAAAAACAACCCAGATTTCTGTTAATTTAATGAAGTTAAATGCATGAAACTCCTTCGTATTTGACATTCGAAGTAATTCAACAGAAACTTACATGTACAAACCACCTGTTTTTGACAGATATAAACTGGGTATCCCCGGTTCTTGTTCATCATCAAAGGAAGTTTGTAAAGTCCAAGTTACCTAGCTAAAGACGCATGTGAATCTCCAAATTCACAAACCCCATTTAAATAGCGGTGACTCGAATTGACTTCAAGCTTGATACTTGACTCCAGTGACCTTTTTGCCTTATGACTGGACATGACGGCTGTTCCATGTCAAGATACCTAAACTAAGAGCCCATTGGTACATGTAGTATCTTGTCGCTCAGTCCATGTATTACATATGTCGTGACATGGAACAGCCGTCGAGACGATGAGGGGTCAAGTGACGTAATGCTCAACGACTTTATTTTAAAGATAGCAACCGAGAGAGCGAGCCCGTTAGATTGAATGCATAAAGGCAAAAGACTGGAAAATACCTGAATAACGTGAGTGAAATCATTCAATAAATGGTTTTTAGAAAGCGGAAAGGTCAAGAATCATGTTCGTGTGCAAAAGAAATTGCGCCCACGATGATAAGTGAGTGGGCCGGAATGTTCAATACGCCGACATGAAATTGCACATACGGAATGTGTGGCTAATGATGGATCGGGAGTGAGAGTCCGTGCCACACTAGTGGGGCTAGCAGTAGGGTACCCCCCCTCCATCCAACATGCCCAACCCACCAACACCAACACAATGACAAAAATACCCTACATAATTACAAAGCACAGAAATCATCTTCTGCTGTTACCAAACTGTGGCAGGGAAGGATCCTCCGATTGTGTAAGCAGTTGTTCGGCTTGAGATCCTTCAACAGTCCCAGTGGCCATCCCCTCTCCACCCCCTGCAACGCCTGTCGAGAGTGTTGATCCTTCATCATTCCCCTTCATTGCCTCCAGAAGTTTGAGCAGTTCCTTCTGGGGCACTTTGCAACCTCATCCTTTCAGCTGCGTGAATTTCGTCAAGCGGAAATCCTTTTCAAGTCCATAGGCAACTGGATCGAACGGCTGGCGAAGGTTTGCCATGATGAGCGGAGCACCAGCCCGAAATGACCGTTTTAGAATTCCAACCCGGCCCCAGCCGTTTCTACAGTTTAGAAACTGCACAGCAGAGTGCAAGATATAACGTGTGTACCGTACCCGTGCGTCACGTACATTGTACATATGTACATATGTTCACGCACAATTGCAACAGGCCATCCACGCCATACGACCGTACCAGGGCATGCAGTGGAGGTCTGCACATTTTCCCCACAATGCAATTCATACCAGGCTCTTTACAGGAAAATAGATTTAGTCAATAAAATTATTCTGCTTGTTTGCATTTTCGCCAAAATTCAATCCAAAATAAGCTTTCATTTTTTGAAGAATAAAATTATCTATACTTTGTTCGATACCTACATATGGGATGTCATGGATTTCATGTTTCTGTGAATTTGAATGATTCAACAACGATCGAATGCTTGTTAATACAGGGAGTTTTGTAACCAACTTTTCTTAGCTAGGGGGTTTTCCGTGGACTAGCTTAAAGGTCGCTGTACATGCCGTATGACTACACTGGCTTAATGCACGTTATGTACGCCGTAACGCGGGTAGGCACCACGTTAAACTTAAAGGGATAATTCGTTTTGTTAGGATAGTCAAAATCGAGTGTTGGGACTAAATTTTTTGTCCCTAGTCCCTTATCTTTTTGGTCACCACAACAACTTTAATTCAACAGGTGTGTGATCACCACAACCACAAAACGATTTTTGTACTGAAGGAATAAACATTAGGATTTTTACTTCCGGCACTGTCATTCTTAGAACAAAATTGATGAAGGGCTTTAAAAAACAGGCAGGTCCAATAGCTGGAAAGATAGAATTTAATTCAATCATTTTCTTATCTTACAATTCTAACACCAAATTGCTGAGATATGTCTGAAATACTTGCCCCCCCCTTTTTAATAAAAAAAACCCAAGTTTTCAACAACTAATACCATGCTAATGAAGAGTGCCGGGAATTTTATTCATATAAAAAATAGTTTGAGAAAAAATGCATGCATAGGCATGAGGCAAGTCAATCGACCAATGACATGATCACTACTGGTGGTATGTAAAACTTAGTTTATCAACAAGCCTTCATTTCAAATTGTTCCATATTGAAAAACATTCATCTTATTTTTTGCGAGACAATTAATATAAAAGGAACATAGCATTACAATAAAAGAGAATATGTTTTATAGAAGGAAAAATAAAGGCATGCAATAAACAAGCTGGTTGTTCAATGGCTGTTGGAAAACATAATGTACTGAATAATTACACTATGGCCATGACTTTTTCATTCAAATTTTAAAAGACAAATAAAGAGTGACGCTGTCTAAAAAGTTACACCCAACATGATAATTTGGCTTTAATGGCTGTATAAGTTTCTTAAGTTTCCTTTTTGCAGATGGCTGTGAGTGCCATGATTTGTTAAACCACTGAATATCAAGGCACAAGCAATTTACATGCATTCTACTCAGATTTCTGTTACTAATCAGGCATGTTTCCAAGCAGAGCCAAGCTGTGTTTTTATACTAAACACATGACATTCTCATCCTTAATCATGTTTGACAGTGAGCATTCCAAATTAAATGCTTAGAGTGTTCTGAAGTTTGAGATTTATCCTCAAACAATACTGATGTTGAATTTTATAGTCAGTTGATAAACCTTAAGACAGAAACCCTCAAAAATCAGAGTATACAAAAATGAACAACCATGTGGTTATATTATGAAAAAGAGCATTGTTATTCTGCAAGTGCATATATGACAGAATAATTTGAAAAGAATTAACTGAAACATCATGAGGGAGTGAGAATACTTGAATACAGATGCCAATTTGCATATTACAATGTGTCAAGAAAAGCATATTACAGTTAAGGTACAGTTAAGGAGTTTGGATAGAATGATGATATACGCTTCGCAAATAGGCATTAAATTCAGCCAGCACTTAACATAAAACAAAAGGTAATTCCTCTAAGTTAAGTCTACCTTAGTAGAAAAACATCTCAGGCTAATGTTGGGGCCATTTAATGAAGTTATTTTTTGGAAAACTACACTACCATCACCTGACTGACACCCAGACACAGAGTGCTGTGTTATGATTCTCCCATGTTGTACACAATTTACAGTTGAAAATTGTCATGTGCTGGTATTAAGGCCCATTAAAACAGAATTTTAGAGATCCTTCAATTGACCAAATTCCAAAAACTCCATAAAATGGCTAAATTTTATGTTTTTGTGGCAAAATTCTAAAACATCACAACAAGAGAGCTGGACAACAATTCCAACTTCATGTTCATCTCCATCCTGGAGGCAATGTTGAAGTTAATCTTTACAAGATAAAGATCATGAACAGTGAAAGCAACAGGGAAAGTACAGTGTTTACATTACACTGGACATCACCGTCCTTGGCCATCTAAGCAAAGCCTTTCACTGCCTACATGTTCAGGTGTAACTTGACAAGCATATGTAAATGCAATTGTTGACAAGCACAACTTCAGCCATGAGATCCATATTAACCTGATACAATTGTACCTCAAAAGCAGTTTTGCATAAATTAGGACTTGATAAGGGCAAATGTTAAAGTAAATTTGACAAAGACGTCTAAGTTTGACAAGTTGAGTGTAGTCAAGGGGATTGTTTAGTGACATGGTTTTCCCATATATTAAGACACTCAACATTCAATATGGAATGGTCATTACAGAATTCGACGACTACCTTCATCATTCTCCACATCATCCACAATGCATTCCCTGATTTGATTCTAAGAGTTGCTACAGAAGTCAATAAAATCCTTATCTATCACTATGAACAAGCAAATGTTAAAATAAGTTTCTAGTGATGGAATATTCTACGATCAATCGTCTTTAACTAAAGCTCTCCAGCTAGCCACTGACTAACATGCAATTGTTTAAACGCTTTGCCAGGCAAATGAAAGCACAGTTCAAGGAAAATAATCAGCTACCTTTTCTGGCTGTGTAAGCAAAGTACAGTTTTTAAGAGCCTCCTTAAGAAAATAGCTATTTCTAGTTGTATGCATTAGCACCTGTAATGTTGATTGTAGAGAAACTAATATGATCTCAGTTCTTACCAAAAGCTGCCAACACAAGAGTATACTGTAGATGGTTATGCTAAACTATGTAAATACCACAACGGCCATATTTCACAGAGCTGTAGCACTTGTATCAACCTGTTACCCCAAAAGTGAAAGTACCACTGATGTTTAAAACTTCGGAAAACTGTTTCAAAGTGCCACATTTATGTTCATGTTTCAAAGTTAAATCGCTGGCAGTTGTGTTGTATACCATACAAAACCCTCTCTATGCTTTCCAAGACAGTCTTTACATGTATATAACTAAAACTTGGTGATTTAGTTCTCACCTATGAAGATCACATTCGGTTGACAAACAAACACAACTGCAGTAACATGCTTGCAGCTGCCATGTTCCAAGTTGATTTTTAGATTCAAAATGCACTTCTTTTCAGCACGGCGGCTCCATAAAATCAGCCCAAGGAAATGTGGGACATTACCTATTTCTGCCACTTCCTATTAAAAATCAATCTTGTTCCCAACATTCTTATCTTACAATGCAAAAAGAGAGCAATTAGCAGGATGATTGGAAGGACATCACAGGAATGCCAACGGAGGATCACAGGATTTTGGTAATGACCTCGATGACCCTTGGCTTGTCAATGACCTTGGCAGTTCGGTTACCCTTTTCTACAATTCCAATGATCCATGCACTGAAACCCCTTCTGTCCATTTCTTTACAATAGCTGGCAGCTTGTTCCCTTGGGAAGGCAATCAAAAGTCCCCCTAGGCACAAAGAAAAAATAATACCAAAACCATCTTTAAACTAAAAACAGAAAAATTTTCAATATAATTTCCTTTAAGAGAAACATTAAAGAGATTTAAGAGAAGTATTTAGTTTTAATGAGTAGGAATCCATATTGAGGGATTCACTATGTAAATAATGACTTATGATTGACGCAAAAAAAAATTGTCATTCCAACTAAACAAAACTTACAAAACGGCACAAAGTCCAATTGAGATGAAAAGCCACAAAAAAAAAGCAACTGAAAAAGGGATCCCCTATATGACAGCAATTTTGAAATATTTAGTTATTTTATATTATGAACATAAGGAAATCAGCAGAATGATGGATAATTTACCTGATATTTCTGGGGATCGTCCTTGGTAGAGTTTGAAGTCAATAAAACCCTTGGCAACATGCTGCATCTTTGCAATGATGGGCAGGTTGTGGATAGCAAAGCTAACCTCTTCCTTCTGACACCTGGCTAAAGCCTCAGCATGACCCAGGATACCAAAGCCTGAGACATCGGTGGCACCATGTGCATTATAAGTAGCCATCAAACTGGCCGCTGTATGCCAAGATTACAAGGAATAATGTTAAACATGTACCTTCTTTCAACATAAGACAAAGCTTGCCTGAGTCTTGGACTAAGTACAGGACAAGTCCTAGGCACGGGATGGGGCTCTTATTTACTCTGTGAAACAAATCCTGGCACCTAAAAGCAGAACAGTATCTACAGACAAAAGGTTAAAGACCAATGAAGACAAATTTGACCCTGAAGTAAAACAAATACATATATATTTGAGTTGGAAATTCCTAGATCACAAGTTGTACAAGAGCTAAATCTGCAGTAGGAATGGTTGTATCTCTAGAGTAAAATTAAACAATCGCTTGAAACAAAACAGGTCAAAGACTAATAGACAAGTCTAAGTTAAAGTGCATGACAAGTCAAGAGGCCCAAGAGAAGTCTCTTCCAGACCTCAGGTGAAAAGACATTCATTATCTTGACTCCTTTGGCATAACCTTCATCACTTCTACAAACTCATATGCTAGACAGGAACCTAGGAACACATTCTGTAAAGTGTACTTTAATTAAAGGGACATCATGGCCAATGTAAAGTAAATGACACTGAGTTCTAACCTTCTGAATCCTGAAAAAATTGTTTAACTCTCTCTGCAGATTTCTGAGAGTCTGACAGAGATCGCTTAAGTTCAAGTCTTTGGATTATGAACTTTGGGGAGAAAAGATAGGGGTGGAACAACTGATAAACTTACCATCACTGTTGAGTCTACACATGTTGAAAACAGCTTCCTGATATCCTCGCTCAAGCTCTTCAGCTGTTAGGAGAGCATTTAGCTTCTTCTTCTTATCTGGTACAGACAGCCACTTCCTGGCTGTCAATGCAATCATGGTGCCTAGTGGTTTGGTCAGCACAAGTACATCACCAGTAACAGCATTGTCAGGGCTGGAAGGAAGAGATTAACCTGTAAGTTCAAACTACATACTAACATAATATTTAGGTATGTATCTGAGTAGTCATTTACAACACACACACGATTTAGACAAAGACAGAAATTGAAACTCACTTTCACGAGTAAAAATAGTTACAGGTTGGTGTACCTTAACAATTTAACCTTGAAAAATCTCTCACTGTGGAATCAAGTGACTGAACTGATATCATGTGTTCACAAATGTGAACACAGATGCTGACTGAACACACCTGACAATCTTGTCCGGCGTGCAGACGCTAGTTGCTATTCCGCCAACGGTACACCAAGGGTTAAGAACAGTTTGTCCTCCTCTGATCTTGGTGCCAGCCAGGGATGCTGCATCCTGGGGGGGAAAAGTTATTCTTATTTTTGGTCATCTGTATCAAGGAAAGAATGGTGTGTGGTAAGAATGGCACACCACTTTGATAAAGTCGAGGCCGTCTATTGACAAAAGGGACACAAGTGGGAATTTATGAACAAACATATTTTACAAGAGTTTGTGCTTTTATTTTAATTTGCAATGGCATGCCTGCGAGGTGAAAATGAGGAAATTAGCTGATTATGGAATTACAACTAACAAATTAAGTTACAACTAACCAACAACCAAAGCCAAGAGATTATTTTGGGTCAATAACATCAATTTTGAAAAAGGTAAAACATATCCCTGAATCTTAATATTAAGTCCATTTGATTTTATAGGCCTTTTAGCATTAACTGAAATGCTCAGGGTTATATATACCTTGAAGCCTTGCATAATAAGTGGAATGACGATCTCTCGTTCTTTGTCACTAAACGTCTGAGGAACAGCCAACAACATCAGCATATTGTCACATTCTATGATCCCCATAGCGTACAGATCACTCAGCACATCTGCACAAGCTATTTTGCCCTGTAAACAATCCAAACAAAGTACACTTTCACCATTGTTTTCTTTTCTCTTTGTGATATGTTTCACATAAATTTAATTCATTTTCACTGGAAAGAAATCTAGCGTCTGTAAATTTTGTCTACCCCGTCGTGTTAACTCCGTTATTACATCCCAAAGTAAGAGTAGTTTAATTTGTGCTATCTATCTAATTGAGTTGTTTTCTGAAATAAAGTTTTTAAAATCAAATTGCACAAGTTAATTTCGGTCTTTGTTACTCAAGACATGAGTCATCACTGTCACCAAATGGGAAATATACAAGGTTCTGTTATAATCCTGAAAAACTGGCAGGAAAAAAGTGAATTCGCATGGCATGTAAGACAGCAGCTGCCAAAATGTGCATAATGTTGTAAATACAGCTTTTCTAAGAAAAGCTATGCTTTGGGCTTGTGTTTGACAAATTGACACCAGTCTCTACAAAGAGGATAGAGTCTGAAAAATCATTCTTGAAACACTGAAGTAATGACTTATGAGAACTAGTCTCACCATAATATATGGGTCATCCAAAACTGGGTAAGAGAAGTCAGTTGATTGAACGAGGAAAAGTCCTCCATGTTGCAGTGGGACAATACTGCAGTCATTGCCAATTCCTGTAAAAAAAATTATACAACCAACAGTGTCCAAGAGCCCTCAAAGAGGAAAATCATTACAGAGATTTTAATTATGCAGATTATTTTGAACTTTTCGGGCTTGGTCAAATGTTTTGATTAGTTTAATCATGAGCACAAGCTTCACAAAAGTCAAGCAAGCTGAATTTGCCTAAAACCAACGAAAATGGGCGTCAGAATTCAATTCAATTATAGCAGTCTGTGAATCTGCAATGCTTAAATGGAAACTTTTAGAAAATCAATTGTATTAATTACTTGAAACTTTCACTGTTTTTGACCGCCGAACGACGACAGGTAGCTACAGGTGTACGACGCACGCCTTCCCTGGTACGAAATAACTCCCCAGCTGTGCATAATCGTCACAATGCGGCCTCAAAGAAAACTTTCTAGGTTTCTCGCGTCAAAGATTGACTGAAATTTAATCAATCTCCTTGGCTCTCTTCCAGAATAAACCTACTCAATACTTACCGTATTCTGGCTGTTGAAGCACCATCTCTTCGGCTGTTTTCTCTCCGTCTGGCTCTTTGATCGTTTGGAGGAGTTTGAGCAATTCATCTTGAGGAACTTTCGCCCCGAAATCTTTTAGGTCTGAATAGCTGGTTAACTGAAAATTTGCGTCCAGGCCGTGTGCGCCGGGGTCGAATGGTGAACGTCTGGATGTCATAACTCTACGGATTTATCTCACGAAATACAGTCAAGGGGTGATTCAAAGAAGCTGGACTTCCTGAATATGTTTGCAACAGTACAGTAAATGTGATCTTAAGGGTGATTTTCGAGGGAATTTTACCCACAAATTGCCACGCTAAAGCAAAGGAAATTTCTCCCTGGTTGGCAATGTACGGGGTGTGATTTCCCACAATGCACCATTCCTCTGGCATGTTCATGTATATTAAATAATTCAATAACAAACCGAATTACATTTGGTTCGAATGTACCCTTTTCGTTGGTATCTTTTGGAGAAACAACAAGTTTTCGTAGTTTTTGTCTTTTTACCTCACGAACTATCGAATAATTTACTTTCCAAACGTAAGTTTTGCTACAGAAATGACCACAAAGTATTAGTAGGCTAGGTGGTTTTATGGTAAATTGATTGCACTAAGGGAGCCTTTAAGGTCGCGTCCTGCAGCCTGGCTTGTTTTGCATTATTTGACGCGTAGGTTATGAACCCAGACCGGGAACAATAATTATACATGTAGGCCCCCCCCACCTCGTTTTTTCCAGTCCTTCAGGTTGTGGTAGTACTTGCCTGGATAAGAGGGTAAACGTGTCACAAACAAAACCGAGGAGGAAAGTAATTTCAAGAAATGATGGGAGGCCATAGAATTACAAACTTTTTTAAACGCAAAAATGAATTCACCGGACTTCCGATTCTTCCTTTAAAAACTGCATGTATGTACATGTACATGTACATGTACAGTGTACATGTACATGTACGCGCATACCCGTACGTACGTCGGTTGGCTGCCTCGTGAACTGTGAATTGGTCACTCAAATACTTTTATGCCGCTACGTTTTACTACGCTCCAAGTTCACAAATAAATTCCTCGAAGGCATTTATTCTTTATTATTTTGTTAAATGGTGGTCAATTCAATCAACTTCTTTTTCCAAATAATTTAAACAGGTATTTGAATATGCAGATGTCATTTGGCACTCGGGTCTTACGGTATAGTCCAAGTTGAATCAAGGAGCCCGAGAGCGACGGTGTACTTGAACCATGGAGAAATAAAACTGCTTGAACTTAGACGATCTTAGGCCGGCACTCTGCCTCTTATGATGACAATCTTAAAATCTGTAATTTTGAAACCCTGGAAGATCGAGACCTGTCCATTGAATTTAATTCGCTCTAACACTCAGTAACAGTCGAACTTGCAATTGTTCATTGTTACCGTCAACAAGATTAGAACAACATATGCAGCTGAAAAATAGCCAGAAGCTCTCACACATTCCCGCGACCAGATTCATGAAGAGTCCTATACCCTTCTTTATTGATGTTTTAAACAGGTAAAACCATGGAGGAATAAACCCAGCATTATTTGAGTCCGTGACTGTTAGTTGTGATTTAATTTGGTGTTAGTTTTTACTTTTTAACGTGCAAAATACATGTAATTTGGCATTCAGGCCACGAGATGTATGCAAAATAATAAAACCTAAACCTAACCCTTTGGCTGATAGCCGTTTTTGTTCGGCGTTTGTGTGATTATCACGTTTATGAGCCGAGGAGAAAATGACTGGTTAGGTTTTTTTTCCTAGCTAGGTAGACCCCCCTGCGTACGTGCGATCGAGGACCGATCGAGGAGCTGTCTTTGAACCAGAGCGCTTTTTAACCTGTCGGCCTGCAGCGTGTTTGTTTCACAAGGATCTGGATCAATCACTGATATCTGTACTATTCAGTGGGATTGATCGCAACCCGTGACCCGTCGTTGGTTCACAGACACCAAATATCACATAATGGATGGTGCGAACCTGCGTAACGATCACCAATCTCGATCCAGATCAGTGCGAAACAGTGTACAGTTATTGCAATAATTTGCCGTTAGTCTGTTGCACAAAAAGCATGACAACAAACATGCAAATTGGGCTTGTGCCCAGGATTAACTTACAGACTTTTTGCCAGGAATAATGCCAGCCCATCCACTGCCCCCAACATTTTCTTTTTGAAAATAAAAATAATTATTTTGCTTCATCTGAGCCTCAGAAATGCATATTAAAAGGTTATATTGCACTGCCAAATTTTAATTTCCCCCACTCCCATTTCGTCCTGAAACCACTCTTTCGCTGTATCCACTTCAATGGATCCTTACAAAAAGTTAAATCATGTGAGTGGCACTATTATCTTCATTTTTTCGGCAGGCAATATCTCAGATTCACTGTTGGTCAAGTCATAAAGCCAAGACACAAAATGGTTAAGTAAAACAGCTTAAACAATCAACATTCCCGACTCATATCCCACCTAAACACCTGTATGTGCTTCTGTATACTCACAAAAGGATAAAATGTATACATAATTTTGTAAAAAATTGTGTGTTTATCACTGATGTTGAGTATATAACCAAAGAAGGTATACACACGAAACAAATCAGTTTGGTTTCTTTACTGTACACAAATATACAAATGAAGTTTATTCCTAATATATTTTTGATGCAATATTATCACTGGGATGGGATATTTTAATGTTCTAAACCAGTTTATTCATAGGCAAACTGAAACATTTACCCTTACTGAAAAGGAGAAATGAATAAATCCACTTGTTAGACGGAAATCTTTGCAAGTCAATAAGTAAAATACTTTCCAAAAATTACCTTGATTTATTTAATGCTCATAGTAATTTAAATTCCAGATGCAAGAGACAGAATTTATGAAGTCAAATAAGATCATTAAGCAGTTTTAATTCAAAAAGCCTGGAACAGTTATACTTGGAAAACACTTGTTAGGAACATCAATGCTCTTTAAAATGTACACATTTCCCACTGACAACAGCCCTGAAAACTTCAAGTGTTTTAATGTTAGACCATTGATCTGCCAGGCACCTGCATACTCACAATAATGCTTCTCACTGGAAAGGCGCTATAATCCAAATCAAGTATTCCAAAAAGGACAGGAACAGTCGCATTTAGGAGACAGTTCCACAAGACACATTTCTTGATAACATCAAAATAAAGTACATCATATTAAGTTCTAAAAAACAAGAGGTCCCACTTTCATTGTTAATTACATAATCTCTTTCAGGTGAAAGGGTGCAAATCAATCTCTTGGAAGGATGTGACATTTTAAATCACAGCAGTTAACATTAAATGCCTTGATGTTGGCTTCTAAACCCTTAACCTACAATGAGCCAGTTTGATACATGTATTTCAAAGGTCAATGGCCTTCAAGGACAAAGCACGGGTGTGTGTCAATCCATGACAGCGCTCATAGGACAGACCTTGTGTATACATATTGCTGTTGCCAAATGACCTTGGACACGCTTATTTTTGGGAATGTGCTGCTGGAATATTGCAATGGCTCACTGTTATGCATGTATTTTGTAAATCTCAATGTCCCTTGTTATCTTCAGTTCTTTTTTATTCTTGATCACCAAACAAGGCTCCCATTTTCACCAAACAGTTGATGGTGGGTTGGTAGAAGTAGACTTTGGGCTGGGGCCTTGTCTCAGCAGTACCAAATAGCTTTGGCTTGGGAAGGGTTACACAGTGCCTAGTGATTAGGCCCAGATCTGACATTATCTACAAGAGGAAAATTAAAAGGGAAAGTTATAAGTCTCAACCGAAATATAGCAATTTTGCAAAGAAACTTAATCATAATGAAATAATAAAACCGAATAAAATTGACATTTTCCTGACAGTAAAGTGGGATGTGATTTGTCTCCTTAAGGGCTGAAGAATTTTTCCAACTCGGATTCTCTGAGATGCAAGAAAACGCTTCCAAATTACACAAAAAAAGAGAGGGTAAAAGAGCAACAGAAAAGAACAAAAGTTGTTAGGGAGTGGGAAAACCTACAAAATCATACCCCTGCAATGAAATGATGTAAAACAAAGGGAATTCCAAACAAACCTGAAGGAGCTTGAGCATGTGAACCTTCCTGAAAACATCCTTGAATCGGTAGACTATCTCCAATTCCTTGATGCCTGGCTCCGACAAGATTTGGAGGACGATACCTTTAATTATTCGAACTAGCTCTGGCTGATTTACCTCACCATCCATCTTCAGCCACGGGTACGGGACAAACTCAACAGGCTCATAGATGCTAAAAGGGACAATGAAATGGACAAGAATAGTTTCTGCAATAACAGCGAGTTGACAGAAGTTGCTTTAACCTTTATGTAACAACTGGTGTTACTGACAGCTCCTGTGCTAGTTTTTATTGATGGGAGTACAGTAACATTTCTATGTAACGTTGACTTCATTTAATGTAACAAAATATTTGAAAAAGGTCACAAAGTTGCCCAGCTCTTTTGTCTTTTTGGTATGAGTAGCCTGAGACACTTTGTTTAAAAGGTTGAACCAAAATAAGACTCAAGCTGAATGCTCTGAAAGACTACTGGGTAATGCACATTTCTTATTTTTCAAGTCAAGTTTTCGGCACAGTGTTGCACATAATTTTTATAAGGTTATCTCAAAACAATTAGTGGCTGATCAGTGAACTTGACCACACAAGTAACACATCTCATTATTGACAGTTGCTTCTTACCCCTCAAAGACCTTGGCAAACTTCCTCTTGGTTGCTCTACTAGGATCAGAATCAGTTGATGGGTGTCCACCTGCTGAAGTTGCTACCTGAGTACCATCTGATCCTTGCTTTACTGCTGCTATGCCGTCCTCTACAACCTCTTCAATCTCTTCAGTTACATTTTCAGGGGACTGTATAATTGTGACCTCCTGATCACCTTTGACCTGTGACCCTTGACCGCAGTTGTCATCCTGTGGAATGACTTCAGCTGCTTGACTTGACCCAGACACAGGACTTAACCTTTGACCTGGTCCAGACTTTGAGATATTCTCAAATGGATCCTCAGTTAAATCAACAGTCTCAATATTCCTTATCTCCTTTTCTACCATGCTACTACTTGAAGGTGCATCTGTACCAATATCTGAAGGTTTGTCAAGACATGGTCTCTTTGTGTGAGAGCTGGAATCAGCACATTGGATACGGTTGACAAGTTTCTGTGAATGGACCATCCACAGCGAAGCATGTTTTGTAGCAACTAAGCGGAGATCATTGGCACCCACTTCCACTATCTGAACAAAAAGAGTCCACCGCAAAATTAGCGAGACATCCTTATGCAAACGGAGAATGTGTTGATATCTTTAAACAAGACAAATTAAAAATTTGTTAAAAACACTACAAGTACGTTTTCTTCACGATGTGCAAGTCACTCACTAAGACACCCTCATATAATCGAGAGTGCAATTTGTCTCATGAACTAGTAAGTGTAAAAAGAGAATCATCCTCATGTCCTAACAAAACAGAAATACCGTAGGACTCCACTTAGAGATATTAAGTATGATTTTCTTTAAGGAGTAAGACAGCTTTGAGTATTATGCTTACAGAAATACAGTCACCATGCCAGATATTGAGTGGGTTAAGTTGTTAAGAGATCCTTTTTTAATAAAACATATAGTTACAAATTATTCAGTTTTATTCAAGTAAATACCTCTAACTGTACTGTGCCATTAAATTAGACTTAGGGACAATCAGTGACATACCATATGCTGTTCGAGTAACATAGTGATGCATTTCTCCAAAGGTATTTCGACAGTGCTTCCCGCTGTTATCCTTCCCACAATCCTTTTCACTTCCTCCACGACCATTCCATGGAACCCAGCTTCTGTGATCTTTTCATAAATTTGGATGACGACAGATGTTGAAGTCATATCCAGGCCGTTCTCAATGAATCTTTGATTCAAACACACAAAAAAAAATGAGTAAGCACTCTCTTTAAGGTAATCAAACAAAGCAAGAATGATTGGTAACAAATCAGTAAGTGCCACTATGATCTAATCTGCTTATATAAACCATAAATGCCTATCAGCTACTAAACAGGATCAATAAGATTAATACTAGAAGAAGTTATAATTTGATACATGCTTTATGGTGGGAAAGTGAATAAAGTGACGCCTATCCTTGAAGCAAAATGAGAGCAAATGTGAACAATCAAATGTAAATGTAAAATCCTTCAAAAATTCATCATTTCATTTAACGGTCGTTTATAGCCGCACAAAGTAATCTTTAGGCACAACTCTAAGTTGACAGGTAACCTTCATTGACGCCCGAGTATATCAACCAGGCCTGCAGCCTTGTAAACATAGCCCAGATTGTGCGATGTTGTATAACTGTCTTTTGTTCACGAACCTGGCTCAGTGCACTGCTGACCTCTTTTCAATAGGGGCCAGATTAGCACACAGCGGTGCTGTGTGACTCATTGTTGCGGTGGTGAAGCGCTTTTGTCCCCGGTGGTAATCCGCTTGCTCTCAATACCCCAAACCCTGGTATACGGTTTCAAAACCAGGCTTGATTATCACCACTTTTGAGAGTGAAAAATGTCGGTAATGCCCAGCAGCCTGGTCTTTTGTTTGGAGTACGGTCTTTTGTTACAGGGCCCTGTTTCCTTTGTCCGAGTTCGGAGACCCTGGCCACGCATATAAAGCATACGTCTCCGATTCCGGGGTCCCTGGCAGGAAGTGGTTTAAGAACGTACATCAAACCTGTAGCCTCTAGACCACGAGAAATGATAAAATAGAATAGCAAAAAACCTAAATACCACAATAAAAAACATTTTATACTTTAGACATTGGTTTAAAAATAGTTGTTGGATAAACTATAACATAAATTTTTGTAGCCCAAAAAGTAATTACCTCTTTGTAAGTTCTTGAGAACTGGCCATTTCCTGTTTGATAACCTTGCCTTTGCACAACTCGTCAAGGTAGGAAGCTTCTTGAGAGAAATCTGATGACTTACAGAAAGGCTCCATTTGCACAATTTTTTCACAAGGTCTGAGCAGGTACTCTAGGAGACTTGCACAGGGGCGGAATTCTTGATGAGCTTCACCACGACATACAGGGTTTGTTTCTTTCATGTGAAGCTTTATGTTGAAGGCATTTAAAGCGATGTTGTCCTGGAGTGCAGAGATTCTCCGTCCACAGACCCCTGGAGCATACAGGCCTTGAACAATCATCCACTTGGTGAAAGAACTCTGTGAGGCTGTGAGGCACTTCATTGTAGCATTACGTAGCTGAGGTTTGAGGTTAACCTTATCCAGACTTGCAACCTCCTGATGACTAAAGGATGTACTGACGGTTTTCTTTTGAATGATAGCAGCTTGTGCAGTTGGTTGTAAATCAGAACTCTTTGCTTCTTGGCTGGCAATACTTGAAGCATCCCCAGCTCCACTCAAAGTGCTTTCACAGGGTGGTAAAGTATCCTCACGACAAACTTCCCGATCTCCTGAGCAACTCACGGCAGGTTGGTTAATGGTCTGAAAGTAGCAGTGGTCCATGTCTCTGACAGATTGCTGGAATGAAGGCATCTGGCTTTCTGTCGTATCAGATGGCTGTTGATCCACATTTGTGCTCGATACACCCTCAGCAAGTTCATTCAGTTTATCCATGACATTTTCATCATCTGTGTTGCTGATTGCAGAATTTCCAAGATTAACCACAAGCGACTGATCTCCCATTGGTTCAGCCATTATAGAAGTCTTGTCTTTATCATCTTCATCTTCAAATCTGACTCCTACAACACTCTGTCCACTGTCTCTCACTCCTATTCCCTGGGAAGTACGATCAACAACCCTTTTCACATCCACCTGAATGTCTGTCCTCTCGTCTCCATCTTGTTCCTCTTCTTCATCCTCCTCATCGTCTGTGTCATCTTCAGAGTCACTGTCAGAGTCTGAGGAGTCTCCATCTTTCTTCAGCAGTCCACTCTTTTGTAGAAAGGTCTGGTCAATCAGAGTACTGTCCAAGACAATTACTTTCTTGGGTATGATGATTTTGCAATTAACCTGTGAGTGGACAAAAATCACTATGTAAATTCACATTAAATTATCTGTTTAGCGTACGATTTCAATGTTGAAATAAGGTCAACTTAGAAATAAGAGACATTGAATAACGCAGTGGTGACAAAGAGGTAGAAACCCATTTTATGCCCAAAAACTTGCTTCAAATCAGAGCCAATATAGCTAACATAATGTAACAAGTACAGTTGAGAGCCTTTATTAGATAGAAGCTTTGATACAAGTTGGCCAAAATCCATGAACCTATCATCCTGGTGCATTGATGTTGGAAAACTCTCTGACTGGCCTGTAACTTTCTCAGTGTGGCAATACCTTACACTATTTCCAGAAGGATTTACAAAGGTCTGTGATGTTTGTGGATACACTTCAAAATCGTGCATTTCCTCCTATACGTCTGATCATCTTGACAAAAGACATACCATTTTAAGTATTCTAAAAAAGGTTTTCTTAGTTTTAATGGTAACACAAAACAATTTGTAAAGACAAAATCTATATGAGAAAAGCAGGCAAAATGCACACTGTTATTCTTCGCAAGACACAAAAATACTTTTACCGAACCTGGTCTGTTGATATCAGGAATATCTGACATGCACAGGCTCCGCAGGTGACATTGGGGAAAGATACATCTTCTTTGGGAGCTGAAAAGTTCAACATCAACAATAAACACAGCATACAATTAGCATGCAGTATAATTGACTCTTATTTCATAAGTACACGTACGTAAATAAGCATATGCTGTGTGTAGAACATGCTATGTAGCAAATACAGACTTTAAGAGGTCATGTGTGATCCAAAGGTCATGAAATCAAAAGGTCATATGAGGTATATACCCTTTGAAGGGTAGAAAGCAAATTATTGGCTTAGCAAGTAACTTAGCAATGACTAATATCTGTTCAAAGATTGGGAAAGAAATCCCTATGAGCTACAAATATGAACATAATCAAGCATGAACTGAGTATCTTATGTAATTCCAAGTCATTTAGACACATCCATGGTGAAGTGGAGGGATATGATACCAGGCAAAGAGGAAAATTTCTCTTCAGAGAGTAAAACCTTGGTTTTGAGAAAATCGTATTTGAAGTTGGTCTCTTTTTCAAAAGCTTATTTCCCCAGTATTTAGCTTTGACTTAACCAAAGCTACTTAAGGAAAGAGGAGATCTTAAATGACACAACACTGCCAAAAACATTTATAGAAGTCCATTGAAATTGTTTATTTAGTAAACAAACAAATTTGCCTCTTTGTGAAAACAATAACATTCATGTGACTTTTATCTATTCGTGAAAACAAGTGCTACTGTGCTATAGCATGTGCCAGGTGCAAAATTGTTACCTTTGTATACATTTCTGGCGTCAAATTTGCCTCTTCGTGAAAACGCAAAATGCGGAATAGTTGAAATTTGCCTCACATTGATCATCATGATTTGGCTGATTTCCATTGGTTTTAGTAAATAATGATTACGCCAAATTGTAGGCTTTACATACTCAAGATGATTTTGCTAAAAACAGAAATTTGAAAAAACAAAAACCATGATTGTGGACCAAAGTGTCTCATGGTAAAAATAGTGATGACATGCAGGACACGGAATGGATAGTGACACAAAATCTGCCTCCTAAGGTTCCCTCCCTGGCAACAAGGCAATGAGGTCATGAATGTGTCATGTCAGTTATCAGTAACCTGATTTCTGTAACTTCCGATAGCAGTTAGTGGCTTCACTTGGTAGTTCCTGTGGCATACTCTTCTTGAAGAGCTTGAAGTATGTAGGGGATAGATGATGCTTCACAGGCAGGCAACCAGCAAACCTTCGCTTGGCTGCTTTCTGCAATAGATCAGGATTGATTTTAAAAAGTTTCTTTGCTCAAATATTAATTTGCCAAAATTAGTAAAAACAGGTTAGCAGTCAAATGCCACTGCATGTACCCTGCTTGTAAGTGACATTCTGCTAATTTTGCTAAGTATAATTATACCTTGCATGAATTTCTGTTAGCTGGTTTAAATTGTTGCAGGAATGGACAGGTACAATGTTGTCTGTGATGTCTAAAAAGCAAAGTCAAAATCAAATGGCTGTGACTGAAAACAATATGTGAACCTATGGAAGAAAGTGACTATCAACTGTGGCTACTTCTTATACACATGTGTAATAATATAAGCCATAGCCAATTGAATTGGACATACCCAGTTTGGTACATGAGGCTAGTTTGCTGTATTCAGCTCTTTAAAGTGACATGCTAAAAACCCCTCAAAAAGGGAGCGATCTGTTGTCACTGGTTTATTTGTGCAACTTTTGCCAATCGGAAGCACTACACGTCAGACATGTTTTACATTGACAGTGATACTTAACATTTTGATGTGAAGGGGAACTTGAGAAAAGAACCACTTTGGAATGTCCTCTGAATACCAACATAAGCACTTTGTGTTTGTCTCCATGTTTAAAGCCACTTCGTAATTCACGCAAATTTGACGACAGACTGTGTGGCATGTTTGACCCTAAGAATGGACTTGGATCTAGGGGCATGTATGACATCGACAATGAAACTAATGTGGCAAAGGTCACCAAAGGTCACTTACGTTACGACTGACAACGCCCTGTGTTCTACAGAAGAGAAAGACATCATGTAGCAAGCTCTCATCATATTGATTAAACAGATTAAAGACCAATCTTGCATTGTAGTCACTACAAGACTGGGTATTCAGTGTGATCTACGTGAGACAAACAACACAAATATTTCACAATTAATTATAAACATCAGCAAGGGTACAGCAAGTTAATAATGAAGGAAAGATTTTGATTTTGAGGGTGTCCACAATGGGGCTGGAGAGATTTTCAAACTAGAGGGAGGGGCAGTTGTAAGACCATCGGGTATCAGCCATTAATAGACAGATCCATTAACCCTAACAGTCCTCCAACAGGTGAAGGATTGAGGAGTGTTAGGGTTAAGCCCTGTCTCACTATAGGACTTTCCAAGAATGGGGGAGGGGGCCGCCCCCGGTTGAGAATGGGGTACTGGCCTCCCCACATTGGTCACCAGTGGCTGTCCAACGTTGATTCCTCACCATTAATATGGTATGCAACGTAAGTCTCCTCAAGTCAGTGGCATTCTCATCTTTGAAGAACACCTTGTTGGTGGAATCCATTTGAGCCATGGGCACTACAGAATAGTTGCTATGGAGACTGGGGATGTCATCAGGTAGAATGTTGTTGAACCCATCCACAAACCTGTCACAGGAAATTGGTTCGCATGGTTATCTTAAAGGAAAGATCATGTTTACATATTCCTCTGTTTTTCACTGTTTTAAGTCTCTGGTTTGGTATCAACCCAGAGCAACGGCAATTCTGCAACTTCTCTCAATAAAAACTGAGAAACAATCCTATTGAAAGTTTATGTTCAGGGATATTTTCTGGAGTATTCCTTTAACATCCACAATGGATATAACAAGTCTTCTCTGCGCAAATTCATAAATACGCAACGGAGCATTAGGAGCATTTATCTTGCAAAAATCTTTCACTAATTGTTGACATGCTAGAACTGATCGTACTTTGGAAAAATGTATTCATTTAGAATACAGAAATCTTTATCCCATGCATAACTGTAACTTGCAAACATTTATAAGCTATTCTCAGTATTCGTTAGTCAAATGCTCATTGCTGCTCAAATCATGAGCAAATAGTGACTCGTAAATATGAAGTATTTCACAGCTAACTAAATATCAAATAGTGGAGGGGTTATTTTTCCAGAAAAATTTCAACAAAACAGAAATGGCTGATTTACGTGAATTTTGCCTGGAGTCGGTCAAGGAGCTCTTCATATTCCTCAGCAACAGTTTGAAAACACCTGTCTGGTCGTGGTTTGATACTATCCAAAAAGGCCTGCATTTTCAAAACAGGAAAAAACCTCAATATTTGGATACATTACAGAACTTGTTTCAACGTAAGGTTGCACAAAGGCACTGAACTTGTTAACAATGGAGTGAGGCTTTGATTAACCACTCAACCTGTTAACTGTGGAGTGAGGCTGTGATTAACCACTAACCTATTAACAGCAGAGTGTAGCTATGATTAACCACTCAACCTGTTAACTGCGGAGTGAGGCTGTGATTAACCACTAACCTGTTAACAGCAGAGTGTAGCTATGATTAACCACTCAACCTGTTAACAGTGGAGTGAGGCTATGATTAACCACTCAACCTGTTAACAGTGGAGTGAGGCTTTGATTAACCACTCAACCTGTTAACAGTGGAGTGAGGCTATGATTAACCACTCAACCTGTTAACAGTGGAGTGAGGCTATGATTAACCACTCAACCTGTTAACTGTGGAGTGAGGCTGTGATTAACCACTAACCTGTTAATGGCGAAGTGTGGCTATGATTAATTTAACCTCACCTTGTCTTCTTTGACCTCCCCTAGGCACACACGGAAGTTCATGCGGAACTCTGGGTGGTGCATGAGACGAGTAGATCGTTTAGCGAGCACTCCTGCATCCTTCATTTCCAGATTAATAGCATTCTGTCAACGAAAGAGGACAGAAAACAACTCCATTACGCTGCACCTAGATGGAATACTATGGAGAGACCACAGACTTGATTTGCTAGTAGTACGTATGATAAATATCAACTGCTTACAGGAACTTTCTTGGAAAACACCTGTTGCACCGTCTCCCAGGAGATGAAGCTGGTAATGGCCTTGTCTCTGTTGAGAAGTGCTGAGGCAACTTTACACAGGAGTAGCTGTCAAAAGATGTAGAGCCAAACTAAGACCTTCAGAAAGGAGTATCAACCTAACTCCAATGAAGTATCCAGACTGAAGCCAACAAAGTTCCAGTGATGGAATGTGATCACCATAGGAACAAAAAACACCTTAACTTAAGAACATCTATCAAATCTCATCTAAATCTACTTTGCCCTTCTAATCTACATGTAGCCTGGTAAAATGAACCCATCAAAACACTAAACAAACCCACTGTGGCTAACCAACCCATCTTTCCCCACTCACACCCCAGCTAACTCAACCTAGCCCAAGCCAGCCCCTTACCCACTCAGTCTGACCAAACCAAATTCTTTCCACTCACACCTCAATCTAACCCAGTCTAGCCCAAGCCCACCCAAAACCCACTCTAACCAAACCCAATTCTTTCCACTCACACCCAATCTATCCCAGCGTAGGCCAAACCCACCCCTAATCCACTCTAACCAAACCCAACTCTACTCCACTCACACACCAATCTAACCCAGCTTAGCCCAAGCCTGCGCCTATCAAAGCTCAAACCAGCTTACCAGACTATCCTCCGCTGGACTCCAAGTGAACACCTTGCGTGTGATGATGCCCACAGCTCGTTTTTGCTTCTGTTGTAGTTTTTTCTCCTCTTTGACTTTCTTCTTCTCTTCCCTACGTTTCTTACGAGCAATCTTTGCTTCCGATTCCACCTTTGGTGCAGACGATCTCTTACGCTTCTGTCCTTTTCCACCAACTGTCTCCGCCTTGTGCTCATCAACATCCACCGATCTGGTCTTCACAACCACATTTTCTTTTGCACCTGCAGGATTTGATTGGTAAGGAATCCTTTACTGAATCAGGTTCTGTTAAATCAAACTAAACATGAGACTGGATTTACATACACATGTGTACATGAGTCACATCAACTCTTTTACCATTTCTTCATACAAACTTAAGCCTATCCTCCCTGAAGAATGTTATCTAGCTCTTGCCAATCAAATCAGCCCATCTGATAATCTGAAAAGAATCTGGGACAATTAAATTGTTCCAATGTACACTTTCTTGAGCATGCAAGAATGTGCTTGCATGATCTTTAATAGGGGAAAGGCCCAGGTTATAATGACAACATCCAAACACAAACAATAGTTGGATTCAAGTATACAACAAGGCAGTGCTTTGGATTAAATAATAAGTTACCTGTTCTTGAGGTCAGCAAGACTGTCTTAGGCTTCAGAGGATTACGTAATCTCTCTGTTGCTTTGTTAGTGGTCCTTTCAAATCGATTCTGGTATCTCTGTTTGGTCATGTAATCGGCATTGATTGTGTCAACTGTCCAGTTTCGCTTCAAATGGCTGTAAACATAAAGTGAGTAATGAATGGTTGGATGAGGGGTCATTTCTGAACCTTGCACATCGCCAGGTGTGTTGACTGTGGGATTCCATGAGTTAATTACTCAGCAAACTAATCTGAGTCACAGGGCAAGTGATGTTACATTCCAGCCATGAGGCCCGACAGTTGGGCATGAGATATCTGCACAAGGCCATATTACTAATTGAGTGCTCATTCTTGAGTCTATCTTCAGATTGAGATATGAGTCATAGTATCTTGAACTCTGACTGTGAGTCACGAGTGTGATATACATGTATATAAATTTGTTTACCATCTGAAAAACTCACAAAGAACAAAAAATTCACTAAGAATGAGTAAAATGACAATTCCTTCTATTGATACTTCACTCTTGCAATACTTTGACTACATGGATTTATGCATTCACTCATCAATGAATCAATTAACTGATCAACCAGGTTATTGATTGATCAATTGACCTTTAATCAAGTCAATACACTTGAGTAATCAATCGACCACTAAATCACATAAAGATTAAAGTTGCTTTTTGTAGAAAGACAGGTTTCATTTCTTTGGCCAGGTACCCTCTGAGGACTTACCACAATAGTTTGGAATCGAACCCTCCTGCCCCCATACCATCTCCTGGAATTCTTCCATCATCTACTAAGTCCAAGTAACTGTCTACTTTCCGAGCTAGGTCAGTGACAGTCTTCAGCTTGGTGTTAGCAGCACAACCTGCGTGTGTATGAAAAAAACAATCTCACAGAGTTAGGAAAACCTTTCCATTGCTATTACAGCCCCCAACCCTGTTAAATATTGTTATATTGCCTCCATTTTTACCATCAAGAGGCTGAATGTGATCTTGAAGGTCTCAGTAAACAGTATCTTTATATATTGACATTTGCATGCTTGCAGGCATTAAGGCCTATTATTGACAAAGATTAGTGGAGACATAAAATTGTATGCTGTGAGATATTGTACATTTACGTGTACATGCAAGGCTGACACCCATCACATCATTACATAGACGACTTTGCATTACAATGACACCCACAGGGAAAATGATGGTATAATGACTTAACCAAGCAGTTAGTGCATTACATCACACCCAATGAGAATGCTGATTTGCAAGACTGAGCTGTGTTAGTGTAATATCTTTGAGAAATCATTAAGGTTTCTTCATTGCCCTTCTGTGCAGTGTGTATGCGCTTAGTGAACACAGATTAACAGGACTGTCTTCTACATTTCTTACTGTGGGGAATTCCATCACCACTTGTCTGTGTAAATGTTCTCTTACTGACTGACAAACATGAGTCATTTTTATATATGTAAACAAGCACTTTTAATATTTATTAACAATAAGATGGTATCTTTCAGATGAGGACCGGTAAAAACTAGGTAAACTGAGGAAATAACCTACAGTATATCAATTATTAGAGAGTGATCGTTTGCTCGGAACTGTCCACTGAGATATTTTATATAAACATAACATCCAGAGAACTTTACTCACCTAGAGGGGTATCTATACAGATCATTTTCATATCAAACCAGAACTTCTCTACATCATCCAGTGTTCCCAGATAATGCGTTTGGCTTGGGTAAGATTTGTCTGAAACAAAGTATGAGCCACGCTCACTTGAAGTGGTATCTACCAAAGTCACATTGCGACAGATGTAGATGCTTATCTGTTGGAGGGATCAGAAGGAAAAACTTGTTGCAATTGTTGATAACACTGACAATTCCCCTTTCCATGTTTCCTGTTTGCTTTTATCCATCAGAACATGTATTTCATAAACATTTGTAAACCAGCACAAAGCAGTTTCCACCAATGGAGCTACTGTTACTAGGAAAATTGCACCCTCTATTGTTTCAGCTCAAGGCAGATAGGCAGTTTTTTGTCTCCTTTGGAATTATTTTAGACACAACATTTTATAATAAAAGTAAACAAATCAAAAACCTCAGCATCTGGCAGGCATGCCAGCCAGATTCTAGACCAGAGCCTGAAAATAAGGCCAGAGAAACCTAATTAGACCTTGTTTAGACCAGAGATGCCTTAATATACATTGTTAAGGCCTGAAATTAGCCCAACATTTCACACATATCAAGCTTTTGTATGAAAACTGCCATTTTCAGGTTAGTGAAAATTTCTGGATGCCCGATGATCTACTGCCGACGACAGCCAAGATCCGGTTATTTATCATAAAATTACCCTTGCCCACCACATCCCATTAAGTTCCTTTCTCTCACCATCTCTTTGTCCACATTCTGTCGTGCACAGAAAACACCCAGCCCTAATGCGCACATGTGATCTGCAACACTCTGTAGACGATAGAGATAACGTCTCTCTCCCAGCAATTTCTTTGTGATGTTGCCAGGCAGGTCTTTCACAAGAAGCAATCTCAATAGAGGGTCCTTTAAATAGACCTCTAAACCCTCAATCTGCGGAGTGATCAGATACACAAACTTGAATTTGAACTTATGTACTCATATTAAAAGGGTTTGGGGTTACAGTAAACATGATTTCCCAGGTTTGTTTTTACAAATTTTGGTACACTCTCCTTGAAATCTTTTGTATGTGGGAAAAAAACTTTATCAAATATTTGTGCTCTAAATATACCTAAAACAGATTTTTAAAAACCTTGAACAGAAATAATTTTCTGAAACTTAGGACTTCCTAAGAAAGCAAGTAGATGCCTTACCATATATTTTTGTGACACCATTTCACAGAATGTCACAAGAGGCATAGACATGAGTAGATCCCCTAGAAAGCACCAGCCTTTAGGAATATCCTGATGCTCAGGTAACGGCTGGACAAAGCGTCGCCAATCCATCACATCCAGGTACACCTTAGCATTGGTTGGAATGAGGGTCTGGGTGTCTTGACCCGATGTGCTTGGAGAGTGGTCATGGTTGATATTACTGACACTTGATGCAGAGATGGACCCTGGTCTGGTTGCTGAGGATGTTGTGTATTGGTCAAGCAGACTTCCAGATTCAATTAATTCCAGTAAATCCGTGGCAGATTGCACGTTTGCTGTCTCAGGAATATGTGTTTGGATGTTCATTTCTGAAATGGTTGAAGTGTCTTGTCTTCTGTCTGCTATCATATGCTCAGTAGTTTCTTCTGCTTCTACACTTCTATTTTTTTCACCAATCACAGGTTCTAATGGATTTGAGTTTCCATGGCTAGCACCAAACATCTTCTCTGATTGGTCAATAGCATGTACAGACATCTGTGATTGACAGGCCGACTGACCACCATGATCCAGTCTACCAATCAGGACATCCGTCTGATTGTTTACACTGTTGAAGGATTGAGATAGTTCATCTGATTGGCTAGCAACTGGTAAAGTCAAACCTGACTGGTTTGTGGATATGCCAAGACACTGTGACTGGGTAGCCGTATATGATTCATGTAAAGTTCTATCGAGTTGCTGAGTGGCTTCATTTTGCTGGTTTTCATCAAATTCTTGTTTGATAATCGGAATTTGATCTCCTGAAACTGCTTGCACTGCATTGGGAGAAAAATGTTTCAGAAAAAAGAATTGATTATCAGAACTAGAAAAATGATGTATGTAAGTCTTTGATGAAGGGACATCTTAACTGACAAGCCCAGTTGCATTCAGAATACTTCTGATGAGACAAACCTTCTGGGTACCAGGGAAGGTTTTTGCAAGCAAACAGGTACAAATAGCACTTGTTGTCTAGGGATGTCAAATGTGACAAGAAAGTCCATTTCATGTGATCCAGGTATTTCACTTACTGCATGTCAATTTAAATTATGCACTAAATTATTAATTTTTGTCAAAGAACCTAAATCAGCTGGACACACATTTTTCATGTCTCACAGTTCCTAAGTGCACATATAACAAGTTTAAAGTTTCGAGATGATCCCTTTCTGATCAGAAGTTATATTTGTACCTGGCTGAAGGGCCTCTCGTGACTGATGCCTTGGCATTCCATACAGGACATACCACATGAATCTGTGTAGAACCCTTATCTTCTCCATTTTTTGCAAGAGGCCATAAACAGTCCTATTCTTTGTGTGCTGTCTCTGTATAAAAAAAAATTGACAAAAACACTCATTTAGCCAGGAAACACAAATAATGGTTAATTGAACAATACTCATGAAAAATGCAAGTTTCTTGCAAGACAAAGACGTACATCCTATATCTGGGTAGAAGCACCTCCTTGAGAGTACAGACAAGTTGATAGGGATTGTTTGAAATGGATGACTGACGTAAATGCAAAGATGATACATTCCAGGAAAACTTTATTACATGCCCTTAGCAGGGCTTGCATCAGTTTAGCATGGCCCTGTGACACACATAGGTTACAGTAACACCAAAGGGGCACTTTTTATACAAAAACATCTCATTCAATGTTGAGTTACAGAGCAGATAATCTACATGTACCTCTGATACGTCCATGTCCTCATCATCCTTGTCATTTTCTCTGTTTTTCTTTCTCTCTGTTGAGGAACTCTGAGCTGGGTTGCGTAATCGTGGTACCTGCTTTGTCTCTCCATCACTGGGCTGTGCCAAGGTCTTGTATGCGGTGATTCGTTTATTGGCAAACGTCACTCTCTGCTTTTTCTTCTTAGGCTTGCCTTGTTTAACTTTGTTTGATCCACCGATCTTTAGAATGGAAATTGCACAATTCTGCATTACACCTTTCAAATAAATCATATTGGCTTGAAAGACACACTCAGTTATGGATAATGTTCTCCCCTTGTTCATTTCTGTCTTTGTCATATTTTTTGTCTGTGATTTATTTAAAATGTTTTCTAATTAACAAAGGAACATCCATCTAGAGTTATTGACTATCAATCTAATGGCACGTTCCTACTTTATTCACAATGGGGAACATAGAGCCATCATAATATTTAATGTTACCTTTAACCAAACTATTTTTTAAAAAACTTTGCAAGAAGTTTGAATATGGTTTACCATGTCCTTTAACTTTCATTTAACCTGCAAGAAACTTACCCGTCTTTTTTTCCTTCTCTTGTTCTTCAATTGATGAGGTTCAGGACAATGAGCCTTGGAATTAGCCATGCGGAACTTGATCTGCTGAGTAATGTGAAGTACTTTGGGGTCGTTCTGCTCTACATTGGCATCAAGGACAAAATTGACCTGAAAGAGAAAAATATCATTGTGCTTTTATTTCAAATATAATTAATTTAGTGGAGCGAAAGTGAAAATAAAAACTCCAAATAAAAAGAAATTGGTTTGGGTTTCCTCATTTGATGCATTCCTTCAATACATGAATTTCTCCTCAGTACATTTTAAGACTGTAAGCATGTTAAGTTCATCAACAAGCTGGAAAAGAAAGTTGAGTAAGGTTCAGTTTTAGTCGGCACAAAGTTAAACAAAGAAATGGGCTAAGAAGAGATTTCAACCTCTGATGCCTGGGATACTTTACAGAAGTTCTATAAATTGAAGCAAGGAGCCTGTGTTGGCAAGAAAAGTGTTTTCATAAAAAGACACAATTCCACATCAATTATATACACTGATATACAGACAACCTCATGAAGCCTTCTATTCCTATGGGTGGACAGATTGTACAGAAACACAAATATTACCTGAAAATGCAGATTTGCTAATCATTTTTCAGGAAGGTAATATGTTTGTGTAAAGTTCACTATTTGAGTTTTGATAGCTACATGATTTTTTTTTAAATCTAGGGAATTATTTTGTAGCTTCTGTACCAACAGCCCGCCATAGACAGCCTGCCACTGGCAGGCAAAAATATGACTGTAGATTTACGAGAAGGCTCTCTACAAAGATAGGAGTCCTTACCGATCTAGACATAGGCCCATCAGCTGACATGACAACTGTTGAAAAGGTCTGGCATAATCCCTCCTTTTCTAGCCGTTCAACAATCCTGCAAAAGGCAATTAAAAATAGTCATTAGAGAAAGCAATATGTTCCTATGGTCAAATGTTGCACTCGCCCCTTTTACACCCTTTTTAGGCGAGCCTTAGAACCTATCAGACTGACCCATCCATAGTTCCCCTACGGACTGCCCACAGAAACGTAACTTAAGACTGACTGTCCAAACAGCCCACAGACAGACTGATCTACAGACTGCTACTTTCTAGAGCCTACCTTAAGACTGATCGTCTATCACACTTCGTGGTTCGCCCCTCTTGTTTCTCTTCCTTTCGAATCTCCTGGCAGAATAGATCACACATGAATTCTGATTTCTTTTTAACATCTATCAAAAAACAGACTGCTCTTACATGTGTTCCCATTTCAAAAATCTTCAAATAAGATACTAAAATATTTTGGAATCATCCCAAATTTGCATGATTAAAGAAATGCAATACAATGAACAAGTGAATAACATTTGATCGCTGTCAACGAAGTGATGCAAAGAACATCAAAACAAAGTCTAGCCTTGGCTAGGTATTTAAGAATTTACATTTCTCCACAACTGTAAGTCTCCTGCAGATTTCGTTGAGTAACTTCATATTCCAACTGGTTGCATAAATCAGACACCCTATTGAAAACTATTGTACCATCACAGATTTGGAAATGTATCTATTCAACTCGTGCATTATATACCTTTCTTGTTCATGTCTGAATACTACATGCAGCAAATCCATCAGCTGTAGCTTTATTTCACCCAATGCACCCCAGGTCAACTCCTAAGGGTGCTTACTTTACTTACCCTCAGCATACCAAAACAGCCCTCTTGAGCCCTGTTTTTACGTATCATCTCTAGAATCTTCTGTCGCCTCTTCATATATCTCTCAGAAGTCTGCTTGCTTAAGGATGCTAAGTAGATGACACAAATTAATGTATTACATTTACCTTTTGAAACCAATTTTAGAATTTTTCAATCATGATTGTAAATCACTTTGCGCATCTAACCCTAAGACAAGGATGCGACAAGGATGTCAATATATAGCCTGACCTAAAATAAAAGCAGTTAATCTCTTCAAATAATGCCATAGTTAGATACTGTGCTAGCTAATAGACCTGGACTCCAATGCTCTTCAGCATTGGCAGAGTTGATCTTGCTGCAGTATAAGCATGATTTTTACTTTACAACTGCTGTGTGTTGTCTTGAGGAGTATTTACAGTGACTTGGTTTGAGGACTCTAGGATGTAGGATACATCACAAATCAATGAAGTTTAATATGAGAGGCGTTATTTACGTGGATAAGGACATGTACCTGTGGTGTCTGATGTTGATGCTACAATCTGAGTGTCAGTGTGTGCTTCTTTCTTTGGAGTTGATTCTACAACTTGGTTTACAGTTTGGAATCTGACAAAATAAGCAGAATAAGTCATGTTTAACCATGCCCATTGACACAACTTGATATTGGTATTTTCAGATTTTCAAGGTTGATACACAATATAATATACAAATATACTTTGCTAAGTAATGCAGTTTAGAGTTTTTATGTACATTTTTTGTGAATTTTCAATGTCGACAGTAGCCACAGGAACAAACTTTTTCATATAATGGTACAGCTCAAGAGAACCTAAACATACAGGTTTTTTTTTTTAATATTACGGCTTTCTCTGACATTTATGCACATGACAATGGAAGCTAAACTTGTTCAAGACACAAGACCAAATCACACATTGATGACTGCATCTGTCTATCACAAACATGTCTTCATAAACACCAGCAACCATGGCATACCACTGATCCTCATTTGACCTTTTATATTATTTTATATATAATCCCCAGTTGGGAACATTAAGTCAATCCTGGGCCCTATTGCCCCTTATTGTTCATCAATCACAAGTTGAATATGCACACTCACATAAGCTAACATGGATTTGATATTCCTCTCCATAGGTTTACCTACTTTCGTATTAGCTGTCTTCCCTCATCGCACAGCTTGTATGTAATCAGGTTTGACTTCAAGAGGCTCCTGTCTAACAGGCGTTGGAGGAAGCGACTATCTAAGTGAAGAAATTTGGTCAAGTCCTTGAGGTAGGGGAAGGAAGAGAAGACTCTGGTTAATTTCTGATCATTGAGGGTTGAGATTTTCAGAATTTCTGTGCCTTTCCTTTTGAGAAGTAATTTCACTTGATGCTGCTGGACATGTACACACCAGGTAGGAAATACATAGAAGCCCATGGAATTGGCATAGAGATTTGTAAAATTCATAAAAGATCAAAAGATTAGGTCATCATGATGGAGGGTATTGATAACAGAGTGTTTTTACCAGATTTGATAAGGGTACAGTTTGCAAATGACAAAATGCACTGGCTAGAAAATGTACCCCTGGTCTAGGAGACTGGTAAAAGCTTTAAAACCAACAAAAAAAACATGTGATATTATTGTAACATAACTACATCACCACTATATCCAATCGCTTCAAGGTTAACTTACATCACAGCTAACACCCTGTGGTCGGTGTTGCATTCTGTCAATCAAATTGTAGACTTGGACCCCGAGAGGCAGCTCTGCCACTAAACAACAAGTCGTTGGATCATCTGTTTCCAAAACAAGCATGAACTGTTCACTTTCTTGAAAGCTATCTTCCAGTAACAGTTTTTACATATTACACATTTTTGAGGATTTCCCACTCCTTATCAGGTACAGCTCTCAATGCAGAACATGCAAACACAATGCATGTTAAAATTCCTTTGATTTGATCGAATATGCCAATCTTTTAGTAATGTTTAAATGCAGTGTAGATTCCAATGTAACGAGTAAGGCTTTTCAAAAATTTTATGGTTTATTTGAAAAATCTGTTTAAGACAAAAACATATGACATAAATGTATGTCATATGTCACATAAAATATAAAAACACAAGAATTACACCAGCACATGAATAGACAAAGAATTAACAGAAAGCCCACGAATGACGAAGTACGTACAATACATAGAACAAGAGACACACAGTATTAAATATGGTATCTTGTTACATTAAGCAGGTTTTTCAATCATGTAGAATTTCTGGCTAAATTTCCAGTAAGGGTTTGAGATAAACCCTTCAATAGTAATTGCTGAGTGGGCTTTTCTCTTAACAGAAACCAAATTCTCACAGTTACTGCTAGACTCATCCTCAGCAACATCATCTTCCTCATCATTCAACTTCTTCAAGAGTTTCAAAGACTCCATCTAGAGAAAAAAAAAACATGCGGTCAAGAGATTGGAATATTATCTCTGTGTTGGCTTGGCAAAATAAAGTCCAAACCCTATCGTTTTTCAAAATCAAGTCTTTCTGGTGTAGTCTCCACAGAGTCCATACCTAAATCCATGGATTGGATGTCTGGAGTTACACGTAGATTTCAATGAAAGTTGCCCATGAAATTTAGTGGGAAGTGAATCCAAGTCAGAATTCCCTGAAAAAACTCCAGCAAGCCTGAAGAACCTTAGTGAAGGCATCAACTCTATCAGGAGCACTGTTTGAGGCTAGAACATTAGAACCTCGGTAAGCTCAATATTAGAAAACTACTACATCTGGCCATTGCTTATTCAATGATATAGAACCCATAGCATATATACATGATATATGATGAACAAATCATACAGCACACAGTGTGACACAATGTGTAAATACAAACCTCAGTATTGTTATCATGGACTACTTGGATAATCTTCATGTCACGCAGCAGCCGGTATGTCTTCTTCAAGGCCCCCATCCAGGATTTTTTTGACACCTGCAAAGACACCATGATGCAGTCTGTGAAAGTGTAGTTGACGGCAACACTTAGCACTGTATGAGCTACTTGAAAGTTAAGCAAGGACATGATGCATGCATGCAATGCAGCTTCAATTCATTTACTGTAGAGTGTGTACAACTCAGTTTTGGACAGAATGTGTACAAACAAAAGTATCTGTGAATGAGAAGAACAACCTTTGAGCAAGTGATTATCTATTATGAAAGTATTTTCTTAAGATAATGATTCACACCAAATATGGCAGTTTCTTGGCAAGTCTCTCTTCGATCAGCTCAAAGCCAGCTGTCTTCTCGGGTTGCTCATCCAGGAATTGTGTGATGCTGTTGCCAATAAGGTGAGGGAGACTCATGTTACTGCGGCTGGCCAGGTGACTAAATCGCTGAAGTGTCAGAAAGATGGAGTTCTTAGCTTTCTTGGAAATATCACACAAGACAATCTGTGGGTGCAAATGTTGAGCAAGAAATGGCGTTACTCTGAAACACAGACTCAATATCTTGCAGATAAAGAGAGTGTGAAAGGCAAGGACTAAGAGCCTGAGGTGATAAGAATACATCCCAAGGCTACATGATACATCAAGATTTTGTAAGGAGTAAAACTGGGAACAAAACAACACTAACAAAAACAAACAGTAAAATGAAAAAAAAAAAGATGTCGATAGCCAATATAAATGAGTACATTTTGATATATAATTCTCAGAAGATTTAGGGGAGTCAAGAGTAATGTGAAGAGTGGAAGGTTTTACAGCTAATTTGACTCACTCTCTTGTCAACGAATTGCCTCTTGATTAACTCTTTCCGATAGCCATGTATAGATGCAGCAGTCAGATTGAATAATCGAGCAAAGTCTAGTTGATCAACACTATGATGGCGTTGTCTGCCGATGTACTCCAAGAAGCAATACTTTGTGTCACTCAGCTCTACTGATTGGTCACCATTAGGTCCCACCAAGGCAGCAAATCGTAGCTCTTGACTGCCTACCACAACAAGGGAATCTCCCCATCTATGAGATGGATTGGTAATAAAACTGTTGGTCACTGGACTGCCCGTAAAACAGGCAACAGTGTAAAATGACTGTATGGTAGTGGAGATCTCACGATTAAAACCATAATCAATAGCACTATCTTTGGACTTCAACTTTCAAGGAGTATCGCATTCATTGTTGGTTGTAGTCTCACTATTTAATCCTAAACGTTCCTGTAAAACCTCTCAGTGGATTTGGACAATTAAAGGGTTACTGTACAAATCCCCAATGCCTGGCTTTCTACAGTTTATTCTTCAAGCATGAATAATTTGCGATCAACCCTGAATGATTTTAGTCCTTACCAAAACCAACGTCACTCACCTTTCTTGCACCTCCTCCAAGGTCATCACATTCCCTCTGTCATGACCTCTAACCTCTTCACTGATGTCAACTCTCTCATTAAAAGTGGCGCATGACCCTTGTATCCCATCAGTCTCTGAGTTATTGATGATACATGCTGGGTATTCATTTCTGGAGACCTGAAAAAATTTTCCAGACTGTGAGAAGAGTGGCTGAGTGGAAATGTAACATATTGCTAAGCACAAATTGAACCAAAAATAAGACAGACATATCTCAGAGGGAAAACTGAAAACCAGCTGCATAGAAGAGGTGCATCCTTTCCAATGGTAACATTCAATGACTAATTGATCTGTATTACTGCTACAACATGAACAATGGAACAATTCAGACAAGTTTACAGGACATTTTGGATTCTATTTCTAACTTTCAAACCCTTACAGTTGAAATTTGCCTGTGTTTGAATTCCAAATAGACATTCTTGTTTACCTTGTCCTGAAGAGAGACAATCCCTGTGGTCTCATCTATTGTCCTAAACTCATGAGGGAATGCAGGTAGATCCCTTGGTATTGGGAGATGGTAAAATGCTACATCTTGGCTTGCAATGATGCCTTTCCAGAGAAACTGCTTGCTTTTTGGGTCGAGAGCCAAGGGGAATTTGGGAAGACGCTGGTCTAAGCGACACCATAAGCAGGCCAGCGTGATTCCTGTAATGAGAAATATATCCATTCAACCATTTAAATCACTCATCTTTGAGAGGACAGTTATGCTGCAGTAAAAAATTACAGGTGCAAAAACTGCCATTCTTGATCATTTTGTTTTTCAATAAAACCAATCAAATCAACTTCTATGACAATTTCTAGGCATACTAGTCAGTTCAGTGATATTTAGTTATGACAATTTTTTTCTTCCGTTGAAATGTTGCTGAGAACCAGAACACATTAATTAATCATACATATGTAGAGCTACGTATTTCATAAACAACAGAAAACTGTTGGGATCTTCACCATCTAGTCCTTCAAGAGCAATCTCATCAAGGCAAATATCATGAAGATATGACATTGCTACTGTTGAATTTCAGAGTTGTCCCATAATCAGAAAGACTGTTTGAATACCCTGCAAAAATAAATGAAAAGTTCAAGTTAAACAATCATTATATCTCAGCATGGCAGTTGGACTTGCCCAACTAGACACTATAGGGCTTACATCATAGGTACTCAGAAAACTGTCAGTCACTGCTCCATGCTAGTACTTCCTATATGAATGTTCGCCCTTATCGATTAGTTTGTGTGCATGCACTAAAATTTGGGAGAGTCGTGGTCACTTTCTGATGCTTGTTAAAATGGCAACACCTGCCAGCAAACGACTAAACCAAAATCCACCTGCAGAGATCTTTCGCATTGTGTAAAAATTTGCTGAATTTATATCATTTATATTTAATTCATTTTGTTTTGTGTTCGTTGTTAATCATAAGTGATATTTGGGAGAAAATGCAGTGAAAGATGTCCCTGTACGTTACATTTCCGAATGCAAAAAGGGTATTTTAAACTCGAAATTTGAATTGTTCTCCAGTTTTTCCACACATGCTGCATATCTTGATAACTGAAAGAGTGTTTGAAAAAGGTCACGATGTCATGTTTATGCTATTGCGAATTGTCCTATGTTAGTTTGATCAATTTCAATTTTGGCTCTCTTTCGACTGGTCAGCCATGATTTATGTGTGCACACTATGTGCATGTACATATACTGTGCATGTACTGTCCTATGTACTCCATCAACGCACGTAAATGTTTACATGCAGAACAATGGACAATGATTCTTGTGCAAAATATTCAATTCGTAATAGCTTGAAAATTCTACCAATATTTTCATTGGGTCTTAATACACTTTATTTGGCTTGTTTGGATAAATTGGAGAAGGATGTTTTAAAAATGGAAAAAACCGT